TTGGCTGTGTGGCAGTGGGAGAGTTTCCCCGCAGAACCTTTCTTTCGCCTCTCGCTTGGAGTTGTCCTCTACCAGCACTGCTGCAGCAGGACTGCCAAGTAAGACCTTGCCTTTTTGGCTTTCCAGTGTCTTTTAGGTGGGCCAGTGTGGGGGGGTGTGATGTTTGGGATCTGGCAACTTAACCTGTCGACAGTCGAGGAACGGGGAGAGGAAAACGCGTTGTTGAATCTTGCAGGGTGATGCTCTTAAAACACTGGGGTGGAGAAGGGGTTAAAAGTTACCCCTGGCGATGCTCGGGAAAGCAGACAGCATGTCAGGAACGTGCATGCTCACTGCCTTTATGCGAGACTTGGCAGGATCTCCTCTGAAGTCTCTCGTAGCTGCAAGGACCCTCACCAGATCTTATGAAGCAACCTGATTGCCTCACCAGTTTAAACCCCTCACGTCTGTGTTCCTGACCTGGCAGTCGCTGGGCTAGCCAAGGTCCTTTCAGCACACCTACCGAAGCACTGCGTTGTAATACTTGTGCGTGTGTGTGTGCGTGGCGGGGTGTATCCTGGCTATCTGACAGCTGGCTAAAATCCTATTTTAAGTTACTATCTCCGATTCTATTGGACATTGCTACTTAATTATTTTTGCCAAGTGGTAACCGACATTCATCGGCAGCTCACATCCTTTCATCTCACAGGCATTTCATCCCTCAGCTGTAGATAGTAGTCCTGCTCATTAATGTTTTCTGATACGTTTGTTTTTTTTCTTTGCCAGGGCGTTAACGGCTTAATGTATTTGGGGACAGAATACTGAAAGATCAGAAGAGAAGCTCGTGGCTGGTGAGTGAGAGTTCCCCCAAGGGGCTAGCGAATGTACATAGAGGTGTTTTCTGAGTCTTCCTCTCTTTTTCTGAGTGTTTTTCTTTAGTAAAGCCCAAGTTAGCTGAGCCCCTATGGAGCTGCTGGGGAAAGGAACGCTGCTGTGTGGTACATCATGGTATGATGAAGCTATATTTTGACCCTCGTATTCAGCAGCGCCTTGGTGTGTGCATCCTGTGTGTTAAGTGTGAGCAATGGTTTATGTATCTATTGACAAAGACAGCTGATCAAATAGCAGGAAGAGCTGTCAGCAAATAGTTTGCTGGATTAGTACCTGCTTCAAGGTGGACAGTCTCTTCCCTGTATGTGGGTTGTTCCTGTCAGGATGGGCGTGAGTAGTCTTGTGTGAATGTATATCCTTAGAAGAGTATATACTGGACCCTATTGCCAAGGCTTGAAGAAGCGCGAAACAGAACCATTCCTTGGTCGCAAAATGGGTTGCATTCACATGAAGGGGAAGCGCTCTAGAGGTTTGGCTGTCCTGCTTCAGAACAGAAAAAAAAGGAGCACTTTTTTTTTTAATTTCCTTCTCTAATCTGCTCAAGGAGAATTCAGGAGTAAAGAAAAGAGCTAAACATTTTGTACAAACTGCTTAAAACAGCTTGCACTAACCAACTCCAACTGCAACTCAGTCAGGTTCCAAATTCTGTGTTGCACGCTGGGGTTTCTTGAGGTGCAACAGAGGCATTGTGTTAACACACATTGAGTTGCACATCAGGTCCCTACATATACAGAACATCAACTCCAGTTAGCAGTGAAATTTGATCATTAGTGATATTGCTGTTGGTGAGAGCTAGATCTGCCAGTTGGCTCCCATAAGGCTGCAATGTGAATGCAGGGGGGCAGTAGACTAAAAGTTGGAATCGGTTTCCCTCAAAAAAAAAATCTCACATAATTACTTTTGCCCTAGGGATGAGCCATTTGAGTTTATAGTGTTAGTAATTGTATTAGTTTATAACTTCTTGAGGAACAGAGTGGTAGCTGTAGACAATGATAGTTACTTACGTTTACTTCCATTGTGAGGGCACTGCAGGTTTTAACATCTGGGGAGCCGCATGAACGCACATACTCTTGGCATGTGTATTTTCCTTTCCAAACCAAGCAGCATAGCTGATACTCCCTAGGAGATGAAGTCTGGTCTGATATGGTTTAAATTTCCTTATAGGTTGGTGTTGTCTAGTGGCAGTAGTCAGGCACTGAGAGTCAGCCTGGCTGTGGGCTTTAAGCTGGTCTGTCCCCTGCATGTATTAGGGCCCGCTGCCTAGGCTGCAGTTTTCCCATCAGTTATCTCATGGGGATAACACAACTGACCTGCCTTGTAGGCTGTTGGCAGCAATTATATATTTATATACCTCACTTTGGTAGAACATAAATAGAGAGTAAGGTTTTTTTCTACCGTTGTTTGGAAGAAAGTTTAACTCTTGCATCCTGATCCCAGTGGGTTGCCTGGGGATCACTGTGGTGTCTCTGCAAGCCTCTTGCCATGCTTCTTGAGTGAGGAGTGTGATCCAGGAGATGTGTGATTGCCAGTGCCTCTGTTGGGGCGGGTCTACTCGCAAGCAACCAGCCATGCTGACTGAGCATATGACTCTTGCTTGCTCTTGCCTTGTGCTTCCCTATGGTGAGGTCTGTATCATGTGCATCTGCAGGCCAGAGCTACAGCTTCCCTCCTGTAACCTGATGTGCTGGAGGCAGCCAGATCTGTGATCCATGACTTGGCATGGAGGGGCACAGTGAGGTTATAGTGCTCGGGGAGAGCCACAGGACATGGCACTCGGTGTTCAAAGTGCTATGTTCAAAGTAGTGTGTTCCCCAGATGCAGCCTACTGCCTTGGCTCCTTCGTGTGCCATGTGACCCGGCGTGCCAGATGTGGCCCCTTTCGCTTGACCCAACATAACCTTGTATCTAATGTGTAAGAATTGCTATTCATGTGAATTTTTGCAGAGTGTAAAATGCTCTTATTCTAATCTTGGTGGTGTTTTTATGCTCACCTTGAATGGCTTTGTGAACTGCCATACGAGACAGTGGAGAATGAAGCCGCAAAGCTCCTCTCCCTCTCCCCCCACAGACCCCACCTTGCAGCTCTTTCATATTCTGGATAAACAGCAAAACAAAGCCTGTTGTTTTTAACCCTGCCTGCATCCTTTGCAGCAAAATAATGTCAGCTAAAGCCATTTGAAACAATGCAGTTCCTTTTTAGACAGGAACAGAGGAGCATGCATGTGTAGGACAGGTGTTAAAGGCATGCAGTGCTGTATGGCTTTGTATATCCAGCGCAGGACATAGCTACATCAAGTGTTTAAAAGGTGGGGAAAAAGGGGCATAAACATTATAATGGCATATGTCTCAGCCTTACGACCTGCAGCACACATCTCATTGGCTTTGGGTGAAGAGGATGGATGAGGTTGCAGCCTTCTCCTGGTGCTGCAGTAGTATTTACTAGCTGTGATGCTTTTGCAAAACTAATGGGAAGAGGCTAATCTTGTAATGAAGGCATTGGATTGCAATTGAGAGTTGGTGTGATTTTTGCCTGTGCTGTTGGTTTCAGTCACGGTGTCTAGACCTACTTGCTGGCAGCAAGATCAAACATGTGGTCAGGGCATGTCTTGGCTCCCACCAGTGCTGTGCACCCATGTTTCCTTTCTGTGGAAGACAAGGTCTGTTGGACCTGTATCTGGCCTCGATATGAAGTTACAAAGCAGCCAGGAGACATACCCAGAAGCTCTTCTATGTTTGCTAATCTAGACATAGCCTGGAAGAAACTGGCAGTTCTTCTTGTCTCGTCTGCGAATGAGGTTAATAATTCCCTTCCCTTTGGTCTGTTTAGATGAAAACTCTGGAGGGTGGAGACTGTCTCCACAGAACCCGGCACAGTGGGACAGTGGCTTTAGCTGGGATTTCTAGGAGACTGTACATGATGGAAAAGAGTATTATTTACTAAAGGGACAAGCCCATAATCATTTGTGACATGCCTGTACTGGTTTCAGAAAGTTCACGAGGTCTTCCTTTGCAAGTGCTTTCATATGTCCCAGAATGAATTTGGTCTAGCATAGCTAAAACGCACATTAGGAGTATGTCGCTGAGCAGCCTCCACAATGAGCTTGGCAAATAAGCATTGACTGTGTTTCAGGATTTAGTCCTAACTTACAAGCAAAGAAATGGGGCAGGAGAGAAAGAGGCAGCACCGTTGCCTTTAGGCTCTGTTCATTGGAGGCCGTGCAAAAAACGTCAAGCGATGGTGTGCTTTTTCTCATTTGGCAAAAAATAAACCCAGCAATATAACAAATATGTCTCTCCCTCAGCTTATTTCTAATGTAATATTAATCTGTGAGCTCATGTGTGTGTTTGCGCAGGATTTAGAGCATTATATCAGTTTGCTGTGCTGCTGGTTCACTCTGACATGTAGCTTTACTCTTGGGGGTGGGGAGCAGAGAGAGGGGTGGAAGGAAAGGGCTTGAAATAGGGGAAGTGATAGCACAGCAGGCAAACATCCACTCTTCCTTTGGGGAAGCAAACTACCTAAAACAGCATTTCTAAAACTGGTATTGCAGATGAACATGGAAGGAGTCATCACGGCAGGGCTCTGTGCGCTCAGAGCCCGTTGCAGATATCAGCCCGTTTTCCTTTTCTTTCTCCCTTCTGCCCACCCTTTGTTGTCGTTTCTTGCTGTGTAAAGTCACATTTAGATTTGTAAGCTCCTCAGGGAAGGAGCCTGTCATTTTTCTTTGCAAAATGCTATGAACACCTATGGCTTGTTATAAATAATGATCGTGTCAGAAACCTCAGGAGGGTAAACATTAGGGTTTTGGAAGGTTTGAAGTGCAGTGAGATACCATGTGTGCGTATTCACACATACATATGCATGAACATATGCATATACGCAGGCACCGTGCATTGATAATGGCCTATTTAGCTTGCATTGAATTTGAAATATATTATGTAGCTGTGACCTGTATAGCAGAGTATGGAAATATGTTTTTCCTTTTAACTGGTGGGTTCTTTGGGACCTTCATCTTCTGACTCCAAGCTCAGTCTGCATGGTGCCGTTCCTCAGGTCCTGGAGGAAGAGTCCTTCTGTATCGGCTGGGGGAGGATTTAGAAACCATGGGAACTGCTTTCTTCAACCCAGGCACCCAGTGTTATCTCTTGTCCAGGGAGGGAGGAATTTAGCAAGCTGTGTCCAGATCTGTGATAGCGGTGCAATAAGCGCTGAGGAGTGAGTTCGGTTGCTGCAGCAAAGGGGGGAGGGAAAGGTAAGCTTATTTTTAACGGGAAGCTATGTAAGTGAGACTTAAGTAGCTCTCTGCTGCCTTGCTGTCATCCAGTGTGTGTGTGTGTATGAACACAGTTGTGTACATTGTATATATATGAATAGGGTATATAATTGTAGGTGTAAAGGGTGAAGGTGAGTCAGATTAAATAACAAAGCATGCCGGCTTATTTATCTGAGTATTTAAACTCTTGTGTTGTAATGAGCGATTCCTGCTAACATTCATCTACTTTTTTTCAGCGGGGTTGGTTATCTTCTGTGTCTCTCTGCTCCTCGGCCTGCCTGTCCCCTCGTCACTCCTCTTTCCTTTTCCAACTCTGACTCCCCTTCCTCTCGTCCATCCCTAATCTTCCCACCCCTTTCTCTCCTCTGGGCCTGACCCTTCTCTCTTTTTGCCCCTCCTTCCCAGCCGATCCCTCCCCTTGCTCGGGATCTACTGGCTGGGGGGGTTTTTTTTCCCCCCCCCCTCCCCTTGCTCGGGATCTACTGGCTGGGAGATTTTTTTTCCCCCCCTCATGCTCACTGGCAGATGTGACAGCTCTTGGAACTGTATCATCCAGGAACAGCTCTATCTGGAGTTGAAAAATCCAACGTGGTTTCCCAGGCAGCAGAAATGGATCGCTGAGAGAATTTCAATCTCCCGACTGCTTGTGTCTTGTGGTAGTGACTTTTATTATTTATGTCTGTACCATTTCTTATACAGTTGTCAGCAGTGACTGAAAGACTAAAGTCTGGTAGATTATTATAATATCAGTGTCACAGTATTTGTGTTATTATATTAAAGGGATGTTGTCTATGTTTGAATACAGGTTTGGGTTGATTTACAGAATCTAAATCTTATATGCATAAAATAGTCTTATGAATTTCTTACTGGATTAGAAAAGGCCTGTTTCATGTTTTTTATTTAAACGTTCCCTAGGTGGGTATTGGAAATAGAAATAAATAGCTCTTGCATGAAAACCCACAAAGTGAAAGGAGACTGGTAAAATACAGACCTTCTCAATGAAATGCAAAACCTACATAGATTATTACAATCCACTGGATTTCAAATAACTATTTTTAGTATATGAATTTCATTTGATCTTAAAGCAATGTAGCTTTAAGCCACCTGTCTGATATGGCAGCGCCTTTATAACCAAAGATTGATGCTGACCATATAAAGCAAATGTCATTGGATACCCAGGGGTATATTATATTTGGAGTTGATTACATTTTCTTGTTTTTAAGAGCTCTATTACAAGCCACTAAGGCACGTGCAGGCCGTATCAGCTAGTCACCCTAATATTGACCATGAACTTAGTAGATGCTGCTGTCTGGGTTTAGGAAGCATGCTTTTGTATATAGGGAGTAAGTGCATTCCAGCTGTTGATTGACAAGTACCGTGATTTACTATTGATTTACTATAAATGCACAAATGTGGTGTTTATGCTTGTGAAAACTGATATGCTGGCACAGAGCCACTATTCTACCTGGGCCTGAATTATCACCCAGGCTTTAAAAGTGAATGTTTTTAATCTGGTAGTTAGAATCATTCCCCTTCTGATTCAGAAAACAATTGATACTACCACTGCTAATGCTTATGGCATTTGTAATATCATACTTTATAGGACCCCTGACCACATGAAGCAGTTAATGAGCCCACTTGAAAGCCAGCATGTCCTCTGCCCTGAATATCTCCTTCTCATTATGAAGATGAGATGAGGAATGAAACTGTGAGAGCTAGAGCAGGAGCCAGAGAAGGAAAGATTTGGGTTAAAACAGTAACATCACTCTGTCTGGAAATGTCCCTGTTCTGGTGGATCAAGGTTTTAGTAGCTGTCAAGACTGACACGTAGTCAGTCAATGATCAGGAATTGAAGCACTGAATATAATACTGCAGATATACTTTCTGCTTTCCTTGCAGGCTGTGAAAGCCCCTCAGCGTCACCAGCTGTTGGTTTGAATAGTATTGGCACCACCAGCTATTACAATATCTTCTCTTTTTGGGATTGTCTGCACTTTTTTTTTCCCCCTTAAAAAAAATGCCTTATGACTTTAGTGTTGCTTATTATTTTAATATGTAGCACCTAGGACACCTTGAAGATGAACCACTGTATTTGAGTAGTGTTGATGCAGACCTAGAGCACAGCTTCTTTCCCACAAGCTCTCCATTAAGACATGTTTGAATTTCCACTGGAGTGCTTTCCAAGCAAAGATTTATTTTCACTGCAAAACTTCTCCTAGGCAGAATAGTTGCTTCCAGCCTCCTTTTTAAGTTGTCTGGCCTTTTTCTTTCTTTTTCAGCTATAAGGCATCTTTAGGATGCTTCTGGACACAGTATAGCAATGGGCATTGTCAGTGTGTGAAATCTGTGTTTCACCAAGGATGGATTGCATGACTGAGGCTTGAGATGGTGTTAAAAGCCCTTCTCTGACATACAAACACTTCCCTGAACGTGCCTAACTGACTGCATCCCCTTCCCAGTGCCTGCAGGATCGCAGTGACCATGCTAAGCAAGCGTACATGCGTTTTCAGGATCTCAGTCTCGCACTAGGAAGTTAAGACGTTGGTCACCATGTGGCTGCACTTTGCTCCCTAATCAAGTTTTAACCAAAACCGTCTGGACAATGTTTGGCATATCTTTCCCTGGGGGGAGAAAAAAAGCACAAAGTGTGCTGATTTTGGAGGCTAGTGTCTCCTAGAAGTGTGTGTGTGTTTCCTGCACGATATGCTATCGCTTTACATTTTCTGTAAATATCTATTTGGCACAAATAGTTGAAATCTGGGGTCCTGTACAGGGTATGAGGGATCACTATGAAGGTGAAGAAGGTGGCAGAAATCCTTACCTGGTGTCAAGGAGGAGGTCGTCTGTGCTTATCTGTAGTTCTGCATGATGCCTCACCTTAAGCAATATTAGTGAGAGGTAAAATACTAATATTAATGCAAGATTAAACTTGGAGATCTGTTGTTCGATCCTAGCACTCTCCAGAATGTGTTCCTTCCCCCACAATAGCCATCATACTACTTCTGTGTGTTTGTTAGAATACAATAATCCATAGAAGAGCAAGTCATGAGCTAGAATTGTATTGTGCGGATGTGGTGGTCATAGTCAGTATTTCCTGTATTTAACAGCTTAGCGATTTACTACCATGGTTTAAACTGAATCAATGAAAGGCCTAGGGAAGATGTTACAGATATAATATCACCAATTTAGACTTGTGGGAACAACTTCATCGGAAGGGTTGCCTTCCTTCTGATGATTTTCTTTTTTTTTCAACCATAACTCTGCACATTTACTTCCAAGGGTTCAGAAATAGCATAACTGGGTTCATTTCCCATGTTTTCTAAACCCAGTTTAGAGAACTACAGCAGCTCAATAATTTTCTAGAACATTTCCCAAGAACCTGGACACTAACTTCCAGGAAATGTAACCAAGATTATATTAAACTTGGCTCCTGCTAGCATACAAGACTGGCTGAAACTATCTTTTTGATGGTGAAATAAATAAAGACTGGAAAAAAGGAGTTCTTGTATTGGCACCCTGGGACGAGTGAGCCTCAAACGGAAGATAGGTACAGGGTTTCATTGTTCTGAGTAATCCCTTCTATAGGATTAAATTCTATGGGGTTAAATTCAGATACTCTGGAGTCTATAAACTCTGTTCAAAGCAAGATGGGGAATTTCCCACCATTTATTTCTAGTAGTGCCTGAAGCCCCTTCTAGAGGCTTTCTGCCCCAAAAAGTCTGAGTGCAGATGGGTAAGTAGAAAGTTGTTAGTGGAAAGAGAACAGCATATAAACATTTTTTTTTCTACCAGTGAATATAAATTGCCTAAACTAAAGCTGCACAGCTTTTTCTCAAGCTAGAGAGAGATTCAGCACTGAACTACCTAACGTGTTTTGACACTGGGTCTCTGCTTTGGCTTACCTCCTTGCTCAGTCCATCTTGCACGTTGACACAAAGCCTCTTGAAGAGGAATTACTGAGCTCTGGAACATACCAATTCCATTGTATCCACAGAATAGCAATCTGTCCCCTTAAATGTGCTTCTACAACAGCAAATGGAAAATAAAACTTGGAATATTTGCAGCCTTAAAGTCATCAAACTGTTTTCATAGAATCATAGAATAACTCGGGAAGGAAGGGACATGAGGAGCTCTCTAGTCCAACCTCCTGCTTAAAGCAGGTTCAGCTCACAGGTCAGACCAGGTTGCTTAGGGCTTTATCCATCTGCTCTTGCAAACCTCCAAGGACGGCGACTGCACAGCCTCTCTGGGCAACCTGCTCCAGCACTCAATTATCCTTAATCACAAAAAAAACTTTTCCTTCTATCCAGTTGGAACTTTCCATGTTTCAATTTATGCTTGTCATCTATCATCCTCCCACGATGTGCTGCTGTGAAAAGCCTGGCTCTCCAGAGAAGATCTCCCTACATGTGAGCTGTTCCTTCATGCAAAGGGCACTCCTCTCCCCCATCTTCCCTGTCTCTCTTTCCTGAAGAGATTATAGCCATCCGTCGCAGTCCTCCAGCTATGTGAGCTGTTTCACCACGTCTCACTCTAACAGTGTCGTAGGTCTGTGATTGCACGTGAAGCTCCTATTTGGCTTCTTCCTTCATATCTTCCCAATTTCAAGAAGGTCTGAAAGTTTGTTTTTTTCTCTCTACATCTCTTTTTTGGCTATAAAGTTTAAATTCAGCTTTTGAACACCTCCTGGGTTTGGGTATATTCATGGGTTAGCTGTTTTCAGCTTGTAAGCGTAATGGTTGTTCACACAAATTATATCTCTCAGCCCCCAAGGAGAAGGAATCTTAGTTATTAATTTTAGCTTCCTCAGCTACCTGCTGACAGAGTTTGTTTTCCCCTAACCTTCCCTCTCTACCTCTCTCTCTCTTCCCCCTAACTCCTCCTTCCTAAGCTAGAAAAACTCAGAGACATAATCAATCTTGGGCAGCTCTTCCTTTGGCAGCAACTCTGTTGTCTTTGAACAGGACTCAAATGTATATTACTTATTCTGTGTAGTCTTAAATAACCAGCGAGGAGATGGTCTGAGCCCCCTTCATAACCTCTCTTCATTCCAAGTTTGTAGCTAACAGAACGCTGCCTTACTGGCTGGACTCTAAAGCCAAACTTTTATGCTAAGTACAAGCCTGTAAAATATAAATATGTATCTGTTATGTATTGTTTAATTTTTATATTAGGCAAAACATATTTATAGAAGTAAAGGAAGCAAAGTGGTAGGAGCTCAGCTGGTAGCTGGTTGTTTTTTTCCTGAAATCGGAGCACTGTTTCACAGTTGGATGAAGCACTGAAAAGGTCATTAGAAATCCCAGAAGTTTGTATTCAGCTCAGCCATTGACCTTCTGGGTGGTCTTGAGCAATTCATTGCTGTCTCTCTGCCTCCATTTCCACATCTGCAAAAAACAGATGATCGTCTCAGCTATAATTGATTAATATAATTAGTATATGATGCTACTGAGTGGGCAGATCATACCTATACATTCAAGAGCACTGATGGGATTGCTTTCTCTGATCCAGGCATCATGTTCCGCAAGAAGAAGAAGAAACGCCCCGAGATCTCAGCTCCGCAGAACTTTGAGCACCGTGTCCACACTTCATTTGACCCCAAGGAGGGCAAATTTGTGGGCCTTCCGCCTCAATGGCAGAATATTCTAGACACACTGAGGCGGCCAAAGCCAGTGGTAGACCCTTCAAGGATCACCCGGTTGCAACTCCAGCCTATGAAGGTAAGAGGAAAACTATTGTCTTTCATGTTCCCTGGATGAGTGCGGAGGCCCAAGTTGAGGCAATGTTTCCAGTACTCAATATATATTCAAGGTGGGGTAAAGAATTCAGATTCAGAGGATAGCAGGGACTGGGCTTTGACATCACTGTCTTTTTTGGGGGAGTTAGTAGCTTCATCGGAAATAATTAAGGACAATATTGTCCTTAACGGTGGTAGTGTCACTGTTCAACTAACCAGCTGGCAGCCTGTCACTAAAACAAGGACCTGTGAAAGCTCTCATAGTAGCTGTCAGAGACTAGGATGTGTCAGCTGTTGTACAGGGAAGTGAAGAGGAGAGTTCATGAAGGGACCTGTTTTAGCAAGTTTGTCATTCCCGTGGGTGAGCAAATTTGGCTGGTGATTGAGTTGACAGGGAAGCCCGAGTGGGAGAGAGCTGGGTAGCCCTAGCCTGCTGTTCATGGATGGTTGAATGAAAGAGAGAGAGCAGGGTGGTTGGGTTCTAGCTTGCTTTTGGTCATTAAATGATAGTAAATTGGAAAAGGGAATTTAATTTGCACTTTGCTGCTGAGTGAGAACTCAACCTAATTTACTGGCCTTTGACCACTGTTAACCCTCAATAGGCAGCTAAACTAAAGTACAATTTAGACTAGAAAGGTTTATAAAATAGTTTAACAGAAAGTGGGACCTAGCAGACAGGACAATTTTCCTAGAACAAGTCCATCATTAGGGAGAAACAAGCTACTGATCCTTGTACATGGGTGAATTTAGATGGTTATCTTGCTTGGATGGCCATTGATAATGCTTATCAGGAGACTATGTGTTTGTAGGTGACTGTAGGGACCTGCTATGTGAAGAAAGCCAGATTGAGAGGTTCATGAAAACCTCCTGAAAAAGGAAATGAAAGATGGTGCCAGAATTATTGTGTTTAAAGTCTTGCTAGCCTGTGGGAAATTTTAGTTCCCAGTTTAAAAATCCTGCAGGGCCTAAGAACTGAAAGGTTGGCTGTAAAACAGAGATCACTGCTTGGATTTCAGGAAGGATGTAAAGGAAAAGAACTGTCAACCTGTTAAACAATTACTGTTGAATGTAGCCTTTTGTGTACAGATGCTTAAAATATGGAGACTAAAAGGGACTACCTGGAAGTATTAATGCAAAAATCAAAGTGGCATTTTAAATAGCATATCAGGATCTTTGAGCAGAATACTTATTAAGGCAATTTAAGAAATACTTGCTCAGGAAGAAGAGGTAAAAGAAAAAAGGAGGAGATATTGCCTTCTGTTTTATGGTGTCCTGAATCTGCTTCGAGGTTCAAAATGGAGTAGGAGATAGGACCCCAGTCCAGAGGAGGGGTAGGATGTGTAGCAAGAGACCAAGTTGGTTAGATCAGGAGCTCTGTGATGAGCTTAAACTGCAGGAGGATTGCTTAGAAGGATGGAAACTAGGTCAAGCCATAAAGGACAAATGAAAAAGAAATGCATGTAGGGACAAAAATGGAAGGCCAAGGCACAAAAAGAGATGCTATTCTCAAAGGACATAAAAGGGCACTAAGGAAACAGATCATGAGTGCGCTGTGGAGGAGGACGGCGACGAAGGAAAGAATTGGTTCCCTGCTCATTGTGGGAGAGAGCTAATAACAGAAGACACTGAGAATGTGTCTTCATGTTTAATGATTTTTCTTCAGTCTTTATTGAAAAGGTTAACTGTGATCAGTGTGCTAACACAATTAGCAGCAGCACAAAGGAATAAGAACTTAGGAACATGAGACTTCTTAGATAAGTTAGATACTTTCAAGTCAGCTGGGCCTAAGAAATTCAAGGAAGAATAAATCAGTCAGAATAATTTCAGTTCCCAGAAAGAAACTGGAACAAATAAGTAAGCAATCTGTTTGCAAGCACTTCCTGGAAGATAACAGGGTAATAGCTAGCAGCCAGCATGGATTTGTTAAGAACAAATCATATCAAGCAACCCAATTTCCTTCAGTGACAAAGTAACAGGCTTTAGGTCAGGAAGAAATTATAGGTCTCCTATATCTTGACTTCATTTAGGCTCTTGGCAGTGTATTCTATAACACTCCTAGAGCAAACTAGGTAAGTTTTTCTTAAGTAGGAGGAAGAATATGTTCAAAGAGTAGTTTAGGTGTCTCTGTAAGCAAAGAAATATGCAGAAAGAGATCTACTGGAGTTTGTCCTGAGTCCAGTACTGGTCAGCACTTTCATCCATTACTTGAATGATGGAATAGAGAATAAACTTATTAAATCTGTAGATGGTAAAAGCTGGGAGGAGCTGCGAAACTTTGGGAGAACAAGGCTAGAATACAACAGTATTT